ATATATATATATATATAGAATGATGCCAAATATAATAAATAGATATTAGTCAGGGATCTCAATGCACAGAAAAATATAAACCCATATGAATGTGTACTTTTCGCTAACTTAAAACATAAGCAGATTTGCTGTAGATCTCAATAAGTCTTCAAGCTAATAATCCCAATATTATTTTGATAAAAATGTTCCCTGTGCCATTCCTCTCCATTTCGGGGTGTAATAAAGATAAATTTGAGCAAGTCTTTTTTATTTTTGTCTTTGTGTTCGTTTCATTCAAATTTTTATATTTTAGTGTCGGGCTGGTTCAGTTTATAATATTTTGAATTTGTCTTGTTCAAATTTTTATATGTTTATGTTTGGTTTTTGTTAGGAATTTTTTGTGAATATTACTTTTTTATAGAGAGAGAGAGAGAGATGAATATCATATAGAAGAACACATTTATTAATGGAGCATTAAGTGCAAGCCCCACAAAATTTATCTATTTACATGTCTAAACACCTAAAATTTTATATTTATGAACATAACATTTGATTCTTTGATATAACATAAAAAGTATCAAAATTATTAGCTTTTAAGGAAATAAACTTATTCATGCATAAATACATAATATTGTATGAGCTCAAGCAAGACTTTCTACATGGATACTTTTGAATTGAGCCTCTCTATCAAAGATGTTAAACTGATCCCACCTACACATCTGCCAGGTTGGTTGAACTAGCACGGAGCAAACCGACTATATTGCAGAAGACTATCCTTACATTAAAATACAAAAAGTTCATCCTTACACGCCACAAATTTTTTCATCAAGACAATATTGACAAACGTAATACATACAACATATAATTTTATAATTCTTTATATTCCTAATGTAAAGAGGACGAATCGAGAAACCATAAAATTTATCACTTCCTTCTGAGGGCTCAAGCGAATGCTCGTGGCCTAATTTTCTAGCGCTCAAAAGCCACTGAAGAACTCCTATGCTCTTTTAAAAAATCACCGGGAGCCCTTAGAGACCCTCAAACGCTTCACACTCACTCACTTTTAGCAAGGGATGCTAGCACTCAAAAGCCAATTTTTCCTTATTTTGCTCACGCAGCTGTGATCCAATGTTTGGGTGAGGGTTTATTGATTTATGCACTCATATTGTAGAAGCCTAAAACCTTAGTTGAACTCTTGGAGCTTGCGAATAATCACATTTTCACTGAAGAATATAAAGTCGAGCCTAGCTCATCCAGACCACAAAAGTTGGAGAGAAGTTTTGCGATCAAACCTATGAAGCTCACAAGAAACTAGAAAATCACTTTGGTAGGAAAAACATTAAGAGCGCCTCTGAAAAAGTGTTTTAAGCAACAAAAACAAGAAGCTATCGACAGAGGGCTAATAAAAAAAAGACCCGAGCAGAGGTTAAACCACTTCGATTCCCTTCGACTAGAGTTACACCATTGAGAATTTCGATGGCCGAAATTATTGAGCCCATCCAAACTAAATACTTTGTTTAGATGCAATTACCGATGAAGGCCAAAAGTTACATGCCTGATCCCAATTTGTAATGTGCAAAACATAGGGATCTGGTCATGACATCGTGGTATGTCAACGTCTCTGCAATTTGATTGAGGAATTGATAAAAACAGGGGAGTTAAAGGAATTTGTGGCCCCAAATCTCAACACAATAAGGCAGTGAAAGACGCCTACCAAAGTTTCCAGTAATAAACCGACCCCAACAAGATAGTTACATGTCAACAAAGTCGTACCAGCCATCTTTTGAGAAAATGGACCTGAAGCTTTGTGAGGTCAAGCTTGAATCAATTGAGTATTATAGAAGTCCACTCAACTACTATGGCCAAACGAGCAACACTAACATGTCCTCCTATCACTTTTATATATGCTGATTTGCCAACTGATGGAAATCCTTTCAATGACATTATTATATTCACCGCGATAATCTTGGACTACTAGATCGACAACTTCTTGGTAGATGCAGGTAGCTCTGTCAACATCCTCTTTAAGAGAAGCTTTGATAAAATGGGCTTAGCTAGCAATCAACTTATACGAACCTCTGACCCACTTAATAATTTTTTTAGAGAAAGAAAGGAGACGTTGAAATGATCACCTTCCCTATAACCTTTGGGGAATGAGAAAGAAATTACACCGTCTCAGCTGACTTCATCATGATAGATGGACCCAACACATATAAAGAAATTTTGAAGAGATCGGTGTTGATACTTTCAAGGTAGTAACATCTACTTATCATGTTACTGTGAAGTTTTAGCTAGGTTGTAAATAGTCTCCTTCGCCTGTGAAAGAAGTGAAGTCGTTACCTAGTCCTAAATAGTCTCCTTTGCCTCACCTGCAGTTGTATTTGAACATTTATGGTCCCTACATAGAGGTCAAGAGAAGTACCTTAACTTGCAATGCTCTTTTCCCAGAAGACATAAACTTCTCATGTGGCTTTTTCCCTTTAGATTGAAGAAACACATGTCTTTTGCAAAAAAAAGTCCGTCTTCAAGGCGTTCCCTTAAGATCTTCATCTCATCGATAGTGATATTGTTCATTATGAGATGTCGAAGATAAATGAATTTTTGTTCATTTTTGGAATCATAACAAGAAGCAATATTTATTCACAACAAAGATTTACAACTCCCACACAACACTTTTATAAACCTAGAAAAAGCACAAATTATCAGAAAAAGATTATAAAGCCACTATAATAAATACTATTTTTAATGATCTACTTTGCTCTTTCTTTTGGTGGCATAACAATGTTAAGTAACAGACATTTGGAACACACATTTATAGGCACACCACAAATATGATACTACACTAATTCTCTGACAAAAAGAAGACACCCATACCCCTCACGTACCATCAATGGATGGATAAGAAACTACCAGGTCTTAACAAGCATAACCAATGTTTTGAGATGAATCATTCCAGAACGAGGCCAAGACCCTTGAGGACCAGCGTTTGACACTCTCCTAGAGTCATAAGAGACTATTCTATGAATGTGTAGCATAACGTGCCCTCAAGAGAAGGTCAGTCTAGACTCAATAATGAGTGTACGTAATTTGACTCTTTGTAAGTGCAACTAAAGTACTCCCATGATAGGAAAAGTCTATCTTTGAATCACATTGTGTTCATGCCTCAAAGTCCCTCAACTAAGCCATAAATTATGACGACTATGGAACATTCTCATAATTACGTTGAGTTAAAAATCATCATTTTTTTGTTCTTCTCGTAGCTTCTAATCGAAGAACCAAGAGAATTGGGGAATTAAATGACCATCCAAATATAACCATGAACTCAAGCAAGATTTCTACATATTTACTTTCAAACGGAGCCTGCCTACCTAAATGGCCAAACCAAACCAACCTAACAAACTGATCAAATTGAGTTCATCTGCTGAGACTGTCGAACTAGCTCGGAGCGAACAACTACCACATAAGTCCATCATTCCATTAGAGTATATATTTCCACTCTTATTTATTACATTACTTGACACTCAAATCATCATTATTTCCTCAAAGACACCATAAACATGATGCGGTACCATGCAAGAAGAGAAGAACTTAAGTTTTAACAACACATCTATCATATTCGTCAACATCTTTCCCATAAAACATGATCTTTCTCAGGTTAAAACTCATGGACAATACGACACTCCTCCAAAAAAAAATCAACAAACACCAAAATATTACAAATATAAATATCTAAAATTTGGTATTAAATCTTTCAATACATAAAAAGATTATAACATGCAAATAGTATATTTTATTATATTTGATTTGTTAAAAGAATAACCTACAAAAATTATTTAAAATCAGCCAAAAAAAAAAAAAAAAAAAGCCCAAATTTCTTAAAATTAGCGAATTAAAATAGAAACTTTTTTGATGGCGTATTTCCAACGAGCTACAGGACGTCTAGAGTCGAGACGGTACCCTACCTATGGCGCCAAAAAAAAAAAAAAACCATCGTGGTAGAACCGTGAATAACTGATGAAAACCAGGGCGTTTACATTTAATATATATATATGTGGAAAAATCACATGTGTTCTTACGAGTGAGGGAAGAGAGGCAGGAAGGCCGAGCAGGCTTGTGAATGCCTGCGGGCGGTTCCTCTTCACCAATCGCTCGCTATATATTTATAATGTTTTTTGGGGTTTCTCGAGCTTCTTCTCCGGACACGGATTTCCGTTCCTGCTCCACTATCTCAGTCTCTATTCTCAGAACCTGAGAAATATTTTTCGGGCTCCTCAAATTCTTGCAGAATCTCCGTTGTTTCCTTGTTTATCTCCTTATTCTGAAGAAGTGCGGCGCTTTCCTTCTTTGCAAACCGTTTCTAAACCGAAGAGTGGGTCGGGGCTCTCGAATTAAATCTTCGAAAGCTTGATTTTTTCACCTTGCTAATGTTCTATGTTCGCTTCTACTAGTGCTTGCGTTCTTTCTTGTTCTTCGAGCTAACTTCGGCTTTTGGTTGTGGTTGATCTCTGTTGATGTTTTTGGATCTGCTTTTCTTTGTTATGGTTTGATTTCTATTGCTCTTTTACTCTTTGCTTGCTGTTAAGTTGCCGTGTTGCTTTCCGAGGTTTTTCTGACACGTTTTGTGCTATGTGGCTCTTATTTCTACCCGCATTGCTGTGATTTTGATGGAAAATCAGTGGGAATAGTTTCCTGTGATAGTTGATGATCATACTTTTTAACAGCTCCGAAAATACCTCTTTCATTTTTTACGTTCTTATAGGCCGAAACCAGAGCTAATTATTGCGATAATTGGTTTTTTTATATATGTATAACTTCAATTTGTGATTTATTGCTTTTTAGGGTTTGCTAATGCCATTATTGTATCATCCTAAAGCATTACTTTCTTTTGACAATTTCATTCTTGCAGGATAAACGTTGATGCCTATTATGGCAGATTGCCCAACCGTATTTGAAACTATACCCTCAGCGCGTTTAAACGGCATTAAGTTTGAGTTAATGACCGGAGAGGAGATGGTACACAGTTTTCATCTCTTTTCCTGTACAGTAGTTAAATTTCTCCACAAATTCCTTTCGCTATCTCCTTGTTTATTTCAGTACAATCACCATCATGGTATGTGGTATTTTTTAGGAGCGGTTTAGCAGTGTCAGTATTCTTGACGTGAATGATTTGGTGGATGCTAAATTGGGTTTACCTAGCACAAGTTCTCAGTGCTCAACATGTGGTTCAAAAAGTGTCAAAGATTGTGATGGTGAGCTTTTATTGTGATTGAAATTCAAATTCGGAGCATTTACATACATAACAACCAATTCTTATGTATTTACAGATCTAACAACTAAAATTTTCTTTCTACAATTATAGCGCCCAAATCTTTCATATAACATAAAAAATACCACCATTTTAACTTTTAAAAAGGGAAATACAGCTTTTTCGTACATAGGTAAGGTGGTATATATGTAAAATTTTTACTTGTTGTATATATAAATACATAGGAATTGAGCGGCGTGTATGTAAATCTTCCTTCAAATAAATGCTAGGTTGTGTGACCCCTCTATCCTTTTTTCTCAGGACATTTTGGTGTTATCAAGCTGCCTATTTCTGTTTATCATCCCTACTTTCTTCCAGAAATTGTTCATATTCTTAACCAAATCTGCCCTGGATGCAAATCCGTTCGGCATGAGTCACAAATTAAGGTCAGATATTCTATAAAATGCTATAAATTTTGGGAGTTTTTCCTTACTTTTTCATCTAGTGAAGTGATGATTTTCTGAAGATGAATATTACTTTAGAATGAGGAAAGTTTAATTGATCTTCTGAGAGATTTAACGCTAGATTTGCTTTGTACTTGACTCTCTCTCTCTCTGTCTCTTTCTGTCTCTATATAGATGTGTATGCCCTTGCATGTGTCTGGTAAGCTGTTAAAACATTTATAATGGCCCATGTTTTATTACTATGATGATCCAGCTTTGGTTTTTTGAAAATCATAAGCCTTATGATGAATTGGCAACCCATTATTCTCCTCTTTGTTTCCTTCTATTTCCATAAACACATACTTCAGTCTTAATAATATTTGCTTAATGGTAATTCATATTTTATTTTTTTCAAATTCAATCTTTCCCTGGCAATGATAATTCTATTAGGAAAGCAAAATCTCAACTGCCACTCAAACATGTATGGTACTTGACCTTTGATATTGCATGTGTTGGTACTTGGTTGGGTTTAAGATCCTGCTCACGATATTGATCGTAATCTCAACTTAAATTATTTGATGTATTATTTATAGTTAGCTTAAAAGCACATAAAACCATTTTTTTTATAGATATTTTGTTTTGCTGATATTAAATTTTGATGATGGATACAATATTTAGATGTAATGTACATTCATGTGTGGAAAATATATGCTCGTTTGGGTATAAATAAGCAATGTCCTGTTGTTTAAAAGTTTTTCTGTGCTCAGCAGTCAAATATTGTCGAGAATATTGGCTTGATGAAACATTACTGTTTTTTATGGCGAGCATGAGAACTTTGCTGCTTTACAATGCACACAAAGAAATTTATAACATGTAACATGACTTGACATAAAAGTCCCTTTAATTGCTAAACTTGGTTTTCCCATTTTATTGGAAAAATTGAATATCTCATTAACATATATAGTGCAAGCACTGCATCTCTACTTTGCAACCTTAGATTTTATGAACACAAATAAAAACCTTCTAATTTAAGCATCAAAATTTTTTTCTTACCCTATTGGGTTTATTTACAACATACTTTCTGTTCTACTATTTATATCAGCACTACCAGTAAGAATCACCAGCTTTGTAACCTTTTTTCCTCAGAGACGGCTCTTTCATACGGTTCGGAAGAAATTACTAAGATATATTCGGTTGAGTCTATCACGTTTGACTAGAAAGGTTCTATCTGGTGATCTGAAGGATGATATTTCATACTTAAAGATCAGAAAGGTGATTGCTTGACTCATTGCAATTTTATCTGAATTATTTTCTTATTTTTCATTCATCTTGTTGGAAGTTGAAACTGAAAGTGAAGATGTGGAAACTTATCTCTTTGGTAGATGTATACTAATTAGCTAAATAACCTTGCTTGAGTCTAATAGATCAAATTATTAAGCACAGGATTTTGTTCCTTTCTCTTAGTATCATAGCTTCGCAAAAAGCTTCTTTCTTGACAATTGAATAGGAAAATAGCTTTTAGGCAGATAAAATTCTGATCATTAACATCATATTAAAATTTTGGATTTAATCATAACATAAACTTTAAAACGTATCCAACCCCCACTTAACTAATATCTTTAACGAGCAACTGGATAATTTTTTACTTTAAATTTGAGTTTGTACTTCCTATGCCTGTGTTAATTTGCTATATACAAACCATTGAAGAGATTATTCTTTGGATTAGAAATGCAATTTCACTAGTCATTTTGATGTTTGTGATTGCACCTGAAGATCTTATTTTGTTTGATTTAGGTTTTTTAAGAAATTTGTTAATATGTAAATTTGTATTAGCTTAAGAGAGTTACCTAATTGCATGGAGCTCCAGTTATCAATTTAACTTCCGAATTGCTCCTCTCGTTTACATGGGGGATGCTAAAGAGCAACTTATTCTAATTGATTATTTAGAGGAAGCGAATTGAAAATGATTACATCTTTATTAAATTGCCTTCTAGTACAAATATATGTCTATATGCAGACATGAGAAGATAATGAAAAATAAATAAATAAGAATATGCTCAATAATAAGAAAATTTTACAATAATAAATAATGCGAATTAGTATCATAAATAAGTTGCAATATGGGCTAATTTGTGTATTGGTTACTCCCTGCCACAAATCCAAGGCGGCATAAAAAAATTTCAAATTGATTATGGAAATAGTAGTGACCAATGATGAAAAGTCGATATTTTTGTTCCCAAGGGATTGCAAGTATTAAAAAGGGATAATCTATTCAACAAAGAGAGTTCTGTGAATCAAACACAAAAAAATACCAGATTCTTGTTAGAGAATGTGCTAATAAAATTCTTGAATGGTGCTATCAATTATTGGTATCAACAAAGGTGGTTGTCAAAGAAAGTCAATAGAAAATGTTCACAAAATGTATTGATGGAGAACATTTATATAGTGATAACAAACGTCATTAGCATGATCATTGTTGGAGGAAAAAGAAATCATAGAGATTTACAAATTTTTGAGAAATAAAGGAGATTGAAAGATCTAGTAGGGTTATAAAAGATATTAAAATCTTTGAGAGGAGGTTAAAATGGAGAAAAAATGGTGAGTGAATTTATGTTGCAATGTACATTATAGTTTAGAGATAGTCATGTGAAGGATTTTATGCCTTTGTTTTGACACCATGTTGAAGTGAGAAATGGAAAGAACAATATCTTCACTAAATTATTTTCTTTGTACAAGTATATATGCCTTTATATAAATAAGGGAAGATGATATAGAATAATAATAAAGAAGAATATCATTAATAATATGGAAGTATTACTATAATTATTATTTTATATTATTATAATAAATAAGTTAGGATATGTGATAATTTTTATATGGTAAAATTCACCATACAAAGGACTTTCATGTCAAACCTTACACAATTTTTGTTACATTGAAATTTTATAAAATCATAATTTGACTGATGATAGTTTGTTGGATATGAGTACAAAATATGACAATTAATGTCACAATCCAGTTAAATTTTAGAAAAATTGCAATATCGAGATGGAGAGGGTGTGGAAGAGATGATTATCTCGTGAGATCAAATTGCAGACATTTTGTCATTTTGAGTGATGTAAGGATAATTACTTATACTTGTACCATTGATTTTATTTCACTTAAGAATATTAATAGGTTCTTCTCATGAACTATGAACGTGCAACTTTTTTTTGTATTTTTCCCATTGACTATTATTTTACTATGTTGAATTGAGGTTGATGCAAATAACCCATTGATACTTGTAATCCAATATAAATTTTTTGTGTTTGCTCTTATCTGGATGACCTTCTGAGCAATCATAGGTATGCTATAATTATTATTATTTTGGACGTCTATGATGAGATATAAGACCTTAGGGGTTCTTCTGGATGGTCTTTGTGTTGCTATAACTTTTGACATATACGTATTTGGTAGCAAGACAACCAAGATCTCATTCTTTCAGAGTCATATGACTTAAGGAGTTCTTCTGGATGACCTTTGTGTTGCCAGAGTTTCCGACATACATGAGTTTAGTATTAATTTCAAAGAGGCTACCAAGATCCTTGCCTTCTTATAATGACATATTATTGATTTATTTATACTGTCTCTGAGACCTCACTTTCATTTTTAACTTTATCTTTGTATTACTATTATTCTTGATATTTATTTTTTTCTTTTAAATACATCATTATAACATTAATAGAAGCTATTTTTGTTTAATAAATTCGGTTTTGTCAGAAAGTATTAGTTCAAGAAGTAGACTAGCATTAGAAAGAAGTTTCTCAATAGACATGATTGTTTGGATTTTAAAAGTAATATTATAATACAATTACTTTTTGCTATTATAATTTAAATTTTGGTGTTACTTAGTGTTGTGTGGTGTATAACTTTCAATATAATATTTTGGGCTTCTGATTTTTTTCCAAAATTTTTTAATTTCATATATGTTGTTATGTATGTGTTAATTCTGAAATGATATAGCTTACATATGCCATATGTATAGATTTACCGTTATCTTACATATTATAATACAATTACTTTTTTCTCACCTACATGTGTAAAATCTAGATCTCTTTAACCCTGACATCCACATTTGTACTAAGCTCAAAGCGAAAGATGTTGACCCTAACTCTAAAGAGGTGAAAGCGGAACGAGCGGGGGGG